ACAACTCTGTAAATACACTAAAAAATCTATTGAGTTGTACATTCTTGACAAGTGAATTTCATAGTATGTGAATTGTGTTCCAATTATTATTTTTTTTTTAAAAAAAAAAGCACAGAAGATCAGTCTATAGGATCCCTACTCCTGCTAAAAAAGTTGATCCTTTGATTGAGCTTTTTATTCATATGTCTGCACCCGGGGGGTGAATTTTGATAAATATGGGACAGGCTTAAGGCTGTTTGCCCTTGAGATGGAGCTGGAAGCTGTCTTCAGAAGCACAGAAAGAATGCTGACGACAGCTATTTAAAACAAGCAAGAAAACCCATGTGACTGTCCAGGAGCATGTGGATATGAAGAAACCCTTGCCTCTAATGACTGTTTTATGATAGAGTAATGTGTGAGAAAAGCCTTATATTTATTCTCCCTGTTCAGAAACTTCCAAAAGGTAAGGCATATGAAAAGATAAGCACACTTTGAAGATGCTTTAGGTCTATTGTTGAAGTTTCTAACATACTGATAATATATCCCACTTTTATTGATCCATTTCTAGTAAGTTTTCAGTTAAACCCTGACAGTATGGGATCTTTAAGTGATTTAGGGCAAGTTAATTTACCGGCCAACTTCAGCTGCTTTTGGAAAATCCAGGTAAGTGCATTTGGCCTGTAAGATCCCCGTGCACCACCCTAGTGGGGTCTCTCTGGATTTTAGCCCTTTCGTGTCTTGTCCTGGCCAGCCCAGGCTGGGAGACAGGTGTGGCAGCCCTCGCTGCTCCCTGAGGGGAAGGGGAGAATGAAGAATGAATACGGAAAAGGTGCACTTCTCTGAACATCTGAGAAGACTTCAGGGTCTCCTCTCTGCCAGCTGACAGCTGAGCAACGCTGAAGCACAAGGTGGGAAGGGTCGTAAGCTCTGTGGCAGATCCTGTGTCTACCAGGCTCCGGGCGGGCGGGAGGCGGGGCGTCCCTCAGTCTCCACCCGGCCGAGATCCTCGCAGGTTTATATGCCTGCCCTTTACCCTAAGATCTAGATGCCTTCCTGAGATCAGAATCTTTCAACAAAAGCCTCATGTGAGCCACAGAGATCATTTTATGTTGTTTAGTATCCATTCCTAACAAAAGTAAAAAGAAACAGATGAAACTAAAAAAAAAAAAAACCCCTCATTTTTTTCAAAGATTATCATGTCAATGTGAAGTTAATACAAACAATTATAATAAAGGGCTTCCCTTATATCTCAGTTGGTAAAGAATCCACCTGCAATGCAGGAGACCCCGGTTGGATTCCTGGGTCAGGAAGATCTTCTGGAGAAGGGATAGGCTACCCACTCCAGTATTATCGGGCTTCACTTGTGGCTTAGCTGGCAATGTGGGAGACCTGGGTGTGATCTCTGGGTTGGGAAGATCCCCTGGAGAAGGGAAATTGAGTTGGACAATAAAGAAAGCTCAGTGCCAAAGAATTGATGCTTTTGAACTGTGGTGTTGGAGAAGACTCTTGAGAGTCCCTTGGACTGCAAGGAGATCCAACCAGTCTATCCTAAAAGAGATCAGTCCTGGGTGTTCATTGGAAGGACTGATGCTGAAGCTGAAACTGCATACTTTGGCCACCTGATGTAAGGAGCCAACTCATTTGAAAAGACCCTGATGCTGGGAAAGATTGAGGGTGGGAGGAGAAGGGGACGACAGAGGATGAGATGGCTGGATGGCATCACCAACTCAATGGACATGAGTTTGAGTAGACTCCAGGGGTTGGTGATAGATGAGGAGGCCTGGCGTGCTGCAGTCCACTGGGGCACAAAGAGTCAGAAATGACTGAGCAACGGAACTGAACTGAACTGAACTGAACCCACTCCCGTATTCTGGCCTAGAGAATTCCATGGACTGTATGGTCTAAGGAGTTGCAAAAAGTTATAAAAAATTATAATAAGATAGTTTGCATTCATTGTTACTGGACTAAGTCTCAACTCTGTAACCGTTTTACATTTATATCCCATTTCTAATCAGGCACCCAATTTTTAGTGGTTCTAGTGAAATATTTAATCTTATCAAAAGACCAAGTTGTACTTAGTGGGAAGATAGTTTGCCTTGCTTCAACCTTAAGGTCTAAATATTAACATGTATATATTTTTCTATATCAAAATATAAATTGTTTGAGATTAGAATGTCAAGTCTGTTTCTGGCGACATTTCCAGTGTCCAGCAGGCCCCGTGGCTGAAGGCCCGGCCATCGGGCAGTGTGGGCCTGAATCTCACAGGGGCTGAGCTGGGCACCAGAGGCCACGACAGGGTAATCTCCTGAGTATCCTCAGGGATCCAAGACCCTCAGGTTAGAGGCTTGCACGGCCACCCTGGGTGCATAAACCATGGGTATGCGGAGACGCCGCTTGTAACTAGAAGGATTTGAACTTGACCCGTTACTTTCCAGGCTCCACATTCTAAGCCCGGGAAGGTCAGTGAATCAAGTGTTTGAAGCAGGTTAAAAGGGCTCTTAGGAGAAATGTCACATTTCTGTATGGACAGCAGGACTCTGCCCAGCAGTGTGGACAGTCCCCTGGGATGCTGGCCAGCGGCTCACTGCACCTGAAGATGGGGTGGGGGGTGTCTCAGGGGCCCCTTTCCCTCCTGCCCTGGGGTAGTGAGCCAGCACCCCCCTTGACCCCACCTCCCCCGGGCTCTGCCCAGCTGGGGCTTCTCACCCTGCACCTCAAGCGTCTCCTCACTGTGGTCCAGCGACTTGGATGGGGCTGCCCCTCAGAATGCAAATTGTCCCCAAAGATGACCTTGCTGACAGCCTCCAGAGCTCAGGGCTGGGGACCCCCAACCCCTCTAGCTGGCAGAGCGAGTTAGTGGATGGCTTGGTGTGGTCCTGAGTTTGGGGACTGTGATGGAAATTCTCCCCCGACCCCACTCATCATCACCATTATTCCTGGAACTTACATTTGAGGAGAACAGAAGCTGAGACTCCAATACTTTGGCCACCTGATGTGAAGAGCTGACTCACTGGGAAAGACCCTGATGCTGGGAAAGATTGAGGGTGGGAGGAGAAGGGGTCGACAGAGGATGAGATGGCTGGATGGCATCACCAACTCTATGGACATGAGTTTGAGCAAGCTCCGGGAGTTGGTGATGGACAGGGAGGCCTGGCGAGCTGCAGTCCATGGGGTCACAAAAGTCAGACACGACTGAGTGACTGAACTGAGCAGAAGTGGTAGTCACCTTATAAATATGTCTTTCTTCTCCAGGAGCACATCTGGAGAGCTGGCACCGGGGGCCCACAGCCGCTTTTCTGTGGTCATAAGGACCATGGTGAAATGGAAAGGGCTCAGGCCGGGGAGACAAACCAATCATGTTAAATTGGGCTGAAAAAAGCCGTTCGGTTCCCCTCCATCTGAACTGGCGGAACACGTGGTTCAAGTCTCGTAAGAACCAACCCCCTCCGCTGACCCCCCTCCTCTGGGCCAGGGCCGGGCAGTCAGGCCGACGAGGCTGCAGGAAAGCATCCAGAAGCTTCGGCTGGAAGTGGGGAGGAACCGGGGCTGGGCGAGCCCAGGGCAGGTGTCGGGTTGGCCGGCGGGCTCTTCCGTCTCCCTGGAACCGCATCCCCACGCAGGCAGGCACAGATGAGAAACGAAGGGGGAAGGCAGGTATTTTAACAAAGTAAAGAGAAAACTCATGTTCACCACGTCTAAAGCCCTCACCATCGGCGGAGTCGGCGCTGCGTGCAGGCGGACCAGGGCAGGGGAGGCAGATGCCCGTGCTCCCAGCACGCACAGGGGGCCTCGTGGTCCTGACGGGGGTGGAGTCCGGGCGCAGGCGTGGCACACGCAGGTGTGCCAGGCGGGGCACGCCTGGCCCAGGAGGACGGACCCTGACTCGCGGGTCCTGGCCCTGCCCTTGAGCACCCGGACCCGGGGCTCAGGAGATGTGTGACAGGCAGCCTGGGAGGGCAGAGGGCTGTGAGCACGGCAGGCGGCGGGATGGTGGCCTTGGGGGCCTGCAGTGGCCACGGACTGGGCATGGACGGTGTGGTTGGGACCGGACCCCGGGCTTTGCAACAGGAAGCGCCTTGGGCCAGAACCTGCAGGGACCTCCAGGAAACAGCGCAGGTCTCTTGTCGTGTTTTCTGAGTGCCCCAAGACGTACAGCAGGGCGGCAGTCACCATCCTCCTGCACCTGGAACTTTTACTGTGATCTCACCCCTGAAACAGTCTCAGGGAAGCTGGTCAAAGCTCAAGATGGGGTCCCGAGGTGGGGGATGGGGGCCCGAGGTGGGGGATGGGGTTCCCAGGGGGGTGGATTGGGTCCCGAGGTGGGGGATGGGGTCCCAAGGTGGGGGATGGGGGCCCGAGGTGTGGGGTGGTGAGATGGTAGCAGGTCTCTAGGGGACCAGCTTTAAGGGGGCTGACACTCCTCTTAGAACTTAGCAGGTCTCCTGAAGTTTTTGCTCCTTGAAAAGGACAGAGTTTTCCATGGACAGTATGAATTCCATCACTGAAAGGGAAGTGAGAGGCTGAAAGGTTTTGGGGTAACAGCAGTGGCCCTATAGTTCACAGGAAAACAGTGAATTATGATTATGTTGAAAGGGAAACAGCATTTACAATGGAAGAATCTGGTAGAGAGAGACAGACAGATGATCAGTAGGTGGTAAGGTGAGGGGATGACGGACAGGTGGGGAGATGACTGACAGGTGGGGGGATGACTGACAGGTGGGTGATGGCAGAAAGGTGGGGGATGACAGACAGGTTGGGGATGACTGACAGGCGGGGGGATGACAGACAGGTGGGAGACGACTGACAGGCGGGGGGATGACAGACAGGTTGGGGATGACTGACAGGCGGGGGGATGACAGACAGGTTGGGGATGACTGACAGGCGGGGGGATGACTGACAGGTAGGAGATGACTGACAGGCGGGCGCATGCATAAGAGGCTGTAGGTCTGGTGTAAACAAGAGCGCTGGCGACACACGTGGCTCACTCACTGTGAGACCTCACTCCCAGAATCTCTGAAGCCATGAGGAGCCTGGGCCCCTCAGGCGCAGGCCTTGTTTGGCTTGGAGAGGCTCACAGCCTGAGTCGTAAAGAAGAGAATCAGAAACTCAGCCAGGGCTCTGCGTTCCCCATGTGTCCCCTCATCCCCCAGTGGTCAGAGCGCTCCTCTGGATTGGGCCGTGAGTCTGGGGGGCAGGGGCACTGACGCTGTCCCAGGCCACGGCCCCTGAGCCGACGGGCATGTGTTTCTGAGCAGCTCCTCTCGAGGGGCCCTGACGCTGCCCCAGGGCATGCCCCCGAGCTGCTGGGCGTGTGTGTTTCTGAGCGGCTCCTCCCTGGGTGCTCCGTCCAGTTCAAAGACGGCCACCCCACAACCGGTGCCACTGGGGGAAGCTCCGGAGGCTGCCGAGGTAAAGTCCTCTCAGAGGACGTGAGACGTGTTCGCAGGGTGGTTTATCAGATGGTGACACTGAGCAGGCAAGAGGCCCGAGGAGACGGACGCCCCCCGAGAGGCACGGGGACCCCAGTTCCTCGTCTCAGGAGGAGCCTCGCCAGGCCCATTCGCTCCCCGGCCAGAGCTCTCTGCCGGCCCGCGGCACCTCTGTGGTCCGCAGCTTGTGTTCCGGAAGCCGTGGGGAGAGTTGGCCCGGCTCTGAGCTTCTGTGCAGAGGCGGCCGTGCTGAGCTGAGGGGAGCCTCTCAACGCTGAGCTGGAGCGGGGGGCCGGGGTCTCTAGCCGGGATGTTATGAGTCACTTGGAGGCGAGATGGAGCTGCTGCAGTCAGGGTGCCTCCTTCTGCGGCTGGTTGCCCGGGAGCCTTGCTCTGGTCTCAGACACTTCGACACAGGCCGGTCAGCCCCTCGTCCACCAGGTCTCCGGGGCAGGGACTGAGCGGACGCTGCTCTAGGCACAGACGGGGTCCGAGGGGTCACCAGGGCCTCTGCCAAGGGACTTCAGTTCGGATGATGCATCTATTCTCTATTTCCAACCCAAATCAGCTACATACACTGCAGCCAACCAGCAGACAGTCCCCCAGGGACCACGCAGGTGAGGGGCAGGGGCCAGCTGAGGCAGGAAGAGAAGGAGGACAGGTGAGCGTGTGTGGCGGTGGGGGCAGGTGAGCGTGTCGGGAGGTGAGCACCTCTTTTCTTTCCTGAATCTTTTGTTAATATTTTTCTTTTCTCACATCTTCTCCTTCCCATCTCACTCCCATTTTCTTCATCTTGACTTAAAATATTAAAATCCCGTCTATCCCACCACTTTCTCTCCCCAGTTTAGAAATGCTATGTTTCCCTGGCCATGCCCGCCCCACACTTCTGTTGTCTTCCTGGCTTCTTGCAGCAGGCTGCTTTAAACCTTTCCCTCTCCCGCTGTTTCTGTTTTCAGGATTTTTAAAAGTCAGGGAGAACTCTGGCGGTGGAGCTCCCACTGGGCTGGTGACAATGGGTGACAGTGGGTGACCATGGCTGGCCCTGGCTGCCCAGAGCCTCTCCCTGCAGCTCAAAGTGGGGGGAGCGGGGCCCGGCCTGAGGGGTGACCCAGGTCGCTTGTCATGCCCTTTCCGTGTGGGGCCTGGGCAGCCCCAGAACCCTCCGTGCGCCTTTTGCAGGGAAGGCTTCCTAGACCTGTGTCCCCACCTGGCTCCCGCCTCCCAGCGCTGCCCCAGGCCGAGCTCTGCGGCTCGTCCGGCCCCAGCCCACTGGGGGCCTACCCATCAATAAGCAGGTCCTTTAGCTGCAGTTCCAACCAAAGCGGGGTGGACATCACCACTCCCTGGAAGGTGAAAAGAAACAAACTCTTCCCCATAAACGTGACTTACAATGAATATCGCAGGATAGCTTGGTTTTTTTTTTATGTCGTCATCTCACTGAAGGGATGTAAACACAGACACACAGACCTAGATCCAAACAGGCCTTAACAAACAGCAGTAAGGGCCCATCTGAAAATAGCTCCAGGTTTCACGTTCACCTGCTGGGAGTCGGCTGTGGGTATCATGTTCAGATTTGCAGGGTGATTTGCGAGTTTGCACGTGTGGGACGGGGAGGCACAGAGGTCTGGAGATGTCCCTCTCCCAGGAGGTGTGATTCAGGGATGCAGCAGGAACAAGGGCCAGGACCAGAGGAGAGACGTGCTGTTTCCGCTGCCCCGTCCCTGCCTCGTGTGCCCGCCCAAACCCGCTGGTCCCCCCACCCAGGGCGGGCGGCCCAGAGGGCGCGCCGACCCCGCACATGGCTGCCCTCGTCTTTGTCCTAGGGGGAAGGACGAGGAGCAGCTCCACGGGGCTGTTACTGCGGTGCTGCTCTGTGATAAGGGACTTTGCTCGCCGCCATCTGCTGCAGGAAACCAGGGGCCCCTGAAGAAGAGCGCTCCTGAATTATTGATCAATGATTAGCAAATGCAATCGAAATTGTAGACTTGATGTTGTGCGGGGATCCATAATTCATGAGTGGACAAAATAGGAGGTGGTCGAGGTAGCAGTAGGTGATTTCAGCCCCGTATTGATTACGTAAAACAACAGGAGGGGAGTGTCGTGTGACAGACGGAGCAGAGGCCGTCGGCTCCGGCTGGGGGGAGCTGGGCTGCAGAAGCAAATGCGTTTCCATTGTGTCTCTTTGATCGCCGTGCTGTTCGACCAGAGGACATGTTTGTTTATAATTTATGTATTCTCTCGCTGTAAAAGATTGATGCACCCTATTAGGAACTCCAGTATCTAAATTTCCACAGTTTGTACGGCGACACAACAGCCAGTGCTGGAAGCCGCCTCGCCATCCACAGCAGAGGGACTCCGCCCGGCCCGGACACCCACTGAGCGTCAGGCCCAGAGCCGCCCTGCCGCGACTCTCATCGGAAACTCGGGCGGGAGGGCAAGGTGATCTGCTCTTGACCCCTGGTCAGTTCTCTCCAGCACAGGGATCAGTTGTAGGTGGACGCTTTCTCCTCCCGGGACGCTGAGGACATCCTAGAGCCTCCACATTGATGACCACCGCAGAGTGAAAAGCACATCCCTTTGTTCACGCGTCCGATGACGTCTGGTCTTTCGGAGCAGTGATGGCCAGGGGCGGGGGGCCTCTCCCAGGGTCAGGCGAGGTCTGTGGGCCCTTTTGGACTGCAAGGAGATCCAACCAGTCCATCCCAAAGAGACCAGTCCTGAATGTCCATTGGAAGGACTGATACTGAAGCTGAAACTCAAAGTACATCAGTACTTTGGCCACCTCATGCAAAGAATTGACTTGCTGGAAAAGACCCCAGTGCTGGGAAAGATTGAAGGCAGGAAGAGAAGGGATGAGATGGTGGGATGGCATCTCAATTAACGGTGACTCAATGGACATGAATTTGAGCAAGCTCCGGGAGTTGGTGGTGGACAGGGAGGCCTGGCGTGCTGCGATTCATGGGGTCACAAAGAGTTGGACATGACTGAGCGACTGAACTGAACTGGAGGCCTTAGAGCCGTCAGCTGGGGCCAGTGCTGCTGCAGCGCTGACGTCAGGGGTTCTGCTCACGGCCCAGGACACACAGGGCCCTGCCGGATGGAGTGTCCCCCTGCTCTGAGCTCTGAGTGCCCATGGACACCGTGATGGGGAGGGCAGGGAGGCAGAGGGGAGCGGGCACAGGCCCCCTTTCGGGGAGATGGGGGTTACAGCTCAGGGGCTCGGACCTGCGGTCTCAGCTGCTCCGTGCACTGGCCAAGCGAGGGTAGCCTCAGAACTCGGGGTCACTGTCTTCTCTCCTGTAATGTGTGGGAGACCATGGTGTCTCCCCAGAGGGTGGGGTGGAAGCGGCTCAGAGGCCCCCAGTGCCGGCACCCAGGACGTTTTCCAGTGGCTCAGTCGTGTCCGACTCTTAGCGACCCCGTGGACTGCAGCACGCCAGGCCTCCCTGTCCATCACCAGCTCCCAGAGTCTACTCAAACTCGTGTCCATCGAGTCGGTGATGCCATCCAACCATCTCATCCTCTGTCATCCCTTTCTCCTGCCCTCAATTTTTCCCAGCATCAGTATCTTTCCCAATAAGTCAGCTCTTTGCATCAGGTTATCAAAGGATTGGTACCCAGGATGCACTTATATTAATTCTTTATTCAACTCATTATGATGGCTGTGCACTAAACACTGCAAACCCTATGTCCTCTTAGGGGAATTCTTCTTAGGAATTCTGCTGTGAGGGACCTCAGCTCTGCTTATTTCTTAATCTATCTGTCCTCTATCTATCATCTGTATCTATCCATTCATCTATTATGTATCTATTTATCTAGATGGGTTAAAATAGCTCAGACAACTCTCCTAAATCTAAACCACAAAAAGCAAACTGTGTTGCAAATTGAAACTAAGAAGCATGTGTTTAAATAATGCAGTTGTTAATATTTGCAAAACCCTGTAAAATAGTGCCTCGTAGTGTTATAAATGACCAGGGACTGACCCTTCTAACTGGGCTTTTCAAAGTCGCTGCAAAAAGTACGAAAGATCAGGAGATATTCCAGGATGAGGGAGAAACGTACACAGAGGGTTTTGAAATCAGTTTGAAACTCCTGCCCTCTATTGTTTTAAAAATGTAAAACAAAACAAAAAGGAATTTGCTCATGAGCATCTTCAGGGTTTTGCACTTCTTTAGTTTTAAGTTAAATGGATTTTGGGAGGGGGGCGGTTCGCTGCAAAAATCTGCCAGCATTGCAGTTTTTCTAATTATTCGATGGTTAAGATCCAGGAAATCATCGAACAGTCCACATAGCCAATGGTCTTTTGAGAAATGTTTGTTCTTAGTCAAACTAGTCAATTCCTAGTCTTTTGAGGAATGTTTGTTGCTTAGAAACAGGGAAGTGAGCACCACACCAGGGTCTACAGTCCCTGGACAGAGCCTCAGGCCCACCTGGACCCTTGAGCCCACAGCTGGACGCTGGGTTTAGGGCACTTGTTGCTAAAACCGAGGCTGGGAACCAGGGTGCTGCCAGTTACCGTGTTTTCTCCACCAACTTCTGCCTGGTGATTGGAGATGTTTGGCTTGAGGCAGTCGCCCCTTACAGATCCATCAAATGATGGGCTTATTGGTTCAGAAAGAGGCTTTTTCTAGTCGCTGAAAATAGAAAGGGTTCATTTCAAAGACAGCATTTGATCATTTCAGTGGCTTTTAGACCCAAAGAGATAGCACACAATCACACGTAACACAAGCAAGCGTCCTCCACCTCAGCTTTGCCACCTCCAATAAAGTTTGGTGTTTTCCACTCTCTCCGTTTTTAGTTTGATTTCATCATTAAAGTGCTGGCAGAGGCCAGCGCCGCTTTCATGCTCCATAGTAGGGAAGCCAACCCGTGCCATCTCTGTGCCACAGGTGCAGCTGTGAACTACTTTATTATTTTGTTTGGGCATAAATACTTTATTTTCTCACTACCTGTTTGGCAAGTTTCATTTCTTTAATGCTA